ATTAGAGATTTTTAGATGTCCACTTTTGGGGTGCCGAGAGAATCATCAAAGTAAAGTCCAAATTCCTGCTAGTAGAAAATCAACATTAAAAAAAACCGAGTGTCATGACTTCAAAACCATTTGAAATGCTGCTAGCAGAAACAGGATTTTAAAAGCACTGCCATTGAAGCATGTGTCCACTATGATGAAACGCAAAAGGTTTATATTTTCCATGGAAAATGTAACTTGGATGAGTAACTTGATTGCTCGACTACTCGCGAGTATAGTTTATAATAATCATTGTTCCAGGCCTGGAACAATGATTATTATAAACTACTCGAGTGCTCGTCCTGGAGCGAATAGAAACAGCTAGGTACCCGCGAGTAGCAATTTAGGGCTTAGGTTTCACAGCTCAATATGTCCCCTGCAAACAGGGAATCACTCCCTCCACCTCTTTCTCCCTGGGATTCTATTCGTCCATACATTTTTAAAAAAAAATAAATGACCCAAAATGTCGCACAGTAAGGATATCTCAGTGCGAATGCGGTGGGATTTGCACGCTATTCGCTTGTAACTTACTTCACGTCACTCTACTTGCTAGCAATTTCTTTGCGAGAACTTGAGTAGAAAAATCCACCACTTGCGCATGCCTAATCCTTTTATATACATTGTACTTGCATTTCAGGCAAAATGGTTTACATGATCTTACTCATGATGGATTTCAAACTGTTTACATTAAATTGAGGATTCAAATTTTTAAAAGTAAAAATATAAAAGATTGACAAAATACTGTAAAACTGTAATACAAACTTGCTATGCTACCGCACAATGTATTTTCCACACAGCACTATCCCAACACTATCCACTGGTTTTCTATAATTCGATATACCTGTATGCTAATTAGCCGTACCCCTATCAAACCAAAGCAAGTGATTTCCCACCCACATGCTGGCCCCTTCTAATCAGCTAATGGACCCCTGCTCATTTTAAGGTCAGGTCATTTGAGGCCACTGTACCACAAAAACTATACAGTTAACCCTAGGGCCAATACATTTCCTAAGAACAAGGGGGGGGGGGTTGCCTGTGGGCGGAGGAGAAGAAGAAGAAAAGAAAAGGATTAAGAAATCAGTCCTTGCCTTCTACCGTGATTTAACTTTTTTTTATTAGCTTTGACCTAGATACACATTGTAGATTTAATTAAATTGTTATCAATATCCAAATCAATGTGTTCCAGGGTCAATGATGTGTGGTGACTTTTGAACTAAAAAATGAAACTGACCCCAAAAAAATTGATAAAAAAAATTGTTAAAAATTTAAAATCGGTCTCTGGTACTAAAATACTACTCTGCAATTTACATGTACAACACAAGTAATAAGGTTAGTTCGGCCACATGCACCCACTGAACGTCCCCACAGAATAATGTCAAGATATCAAACATGTTTCTAAGATGCAGATAAAAATTTACTGTAGCCTATTCCTCAAACTGTCATTTACATATACTAGTTGAATCAAACTGCAAATTCAAATTGAATATTTTCATGTAAACATTGGCGTATCAGGGGGGATGGGACAACGGGGGCCATGACCCCCCCCCCCCCCAAAAAAAACCCACACACACATGCAAGTGTGTATTTGCCTGCAATCGGGGACCCCCTTTTGCCTGCAATCGGGGACCCCCTATTGTCCCTCTTTTGTTTGTACTCTAAATGTTTAGGAAGACTTCCCATATGTTTTGTAGACGATCGCCAAATTAGGGACCATCGGAAATTGCGGACCCTATTGTCCTCTATTGTTCAACGTCCCCTATTGAATGCAGAAACAAACTCACACACATTTTTTTTCTTTTCAGGAAATAAATTAAAACATTGTCCATCGCAAGGCATCAGCTACACATACCTTTTAGTTGTATCAATCTGGAAATAGCATCCACTTCTCCTTTAAAAAAATAATAATAATCAAGCCCTCTTGGGCCCCCTCCGAAAATTTGGTTCTGGATCTGCCCTTGCATGAGAAGTACAGTCATTAAGGGTCTTACCATTGTACTGGTACTTTTTATGTCCAAATCTAGCCACCACCCCCCCCCCCCCCCGAAAAAATCCTAACAATCAGCTTTTGTTATGTGGTCAACAGCAGCAACACGTACTTACACGTACCGAACTACTGTTCAACAAGGAATCTACCTTTCTCTGAATGACAATACTAGGTCACGATCAAACACAAGTAAACAGGGTCAAGTGCAAACCAAGGAGAAAACAAATATAATCTGTTTGAACTGGACAGACCAACAGGCTGGACAGCGCACTTTTTTGTGAACGTTGGCATCACTGAAAATAAATTTGGAGGATTACTGACTGCCTTTTATCAGAATACGAGTGGGCTGAGAAGATAAAGAAAGACATATTAATTTTTGGATGATAAATGCTGATAGATGTCGCCAATGGTCTGCCAACGCTGAGATATATCCAGTTGTAATTTGGTCAACAACTAATTATTTTGATGAAATACAATTTTAGAAAAATACAATTTTATGACTGAGAAATTCATGAATCTTTTAAATTGATGGACACTAATTCAAGGAAATGTAAGATAACTGTTTTGATGTTTCTTCTCAGACCCATCTTCTTACCACTCCAAAAGGATACAGGAATTATACTAGTGTTTCCAAAAGCCTTTGAATGTTTGAAACCTGCATTTATGTCTTGTCAAACTTTATATTAAAACCATTGCTATGACCTCACACTATTGTTAAAAGTGTGGATTCGGAACTATAAATCTGTTACAGTGGTCTCAAAGTGTGGATTCGGAATAATGATTCTTTATGTAGATTCGGAATAACGATTTACACGTAACACTTTGAGCATGTTGGACAATTGTTCTCCATAATGAGCATTAATAGGACCGTCTGCGTGAAAACTTTCTATCCGAAAGTTACCAATGCATCTTCACTGTCAGATTCTCTGCCGTCACTGCAAAACCTTTTTTGATTCGGACAGAAATCGTTGTCTGAACTATTCATGTTGACGGAAGGAGCCTACACACAAAATGACTTAGTTGTACGGGTGTGGTGATACACCTTCAATGCTAAACACGCCACAATGCTTGATTACGTATAAGAGTCTCGGAAAACTCCCTTATTGGCCACGACTCGACACGAGATATGCAAGTATCTTCATCTCCACTCACTGGATAATGACAATACTTCTTTCGACGCTGTGGTTTAAGTCAAAGAATACACTCGCAAAATGTGTGGATTCTTAATTTAAGAATTCACAATTAAGAAGCCACACTTTCTCGTGTATTCTCCTCAACATACTGAATGTATCCATGCGTAGCGAAGCGTGTTTATGAGTAGAACAGAAGAAGGGTACCGTACTTCAAATGAAAACTTGTCCGGGCACCAACTGATCCCAAAAGTTTACAAAAGTTAGCACACTCCTTGTAAATTACAAGCTCTATAGAGCATGTGAATTACGACCTCGTTCAATTGACACCTGATGTCATTAGTTTCCAATCAATTAAGCCCCCATATCGCTGGACCTTACACCTCCATTCAATTGGAAACACTTCCATAGAGTTGGACTGATTGTGTGAGGTGTGGCAAAGGTGATCAGTTAATGGTCTAATTATAGCATTGGGCCGCGATTTAATTTGGATTATTCTGCGATTATTCTGCGTTCAATCCAAAGTCATTATTTTTTATGGTACAGCCTGTGTTGCTTGTTTGACACAATGCGTCTCTTGTTCTTGCAAATGTTAAGTTTCAAATGTAGCATTTGGTCATTTGGGTGATCTTTGGAAAATGAGTTAAACCATTTCCTAACCCAAGTTGGTGACAAGTTACTGTAAGCTGTGTTCCCATTTGACTTTTAAGTTTGAACACGTATCACCACTGTTACCAGACCTCCACTGGTTGCCTATTAGGCCTAAGTGTAGAATTAAATTCAAAGTACTTGTAATTGTCTTTCAATGCCTGTATGGATCAGCACCCGAATATCTCAAAGAAATGATCCAACCATACAACCCCCAAATCACTCTCCGCTCACAATCAAAGAACTTACTGGTCCCAGTTTATTCCAACACTAAATCATATGGAGGGAGGGCCTTCCAGAAAATAGCTCCGGACTTATGAAACTCGCTACCACAGCATTTGAGGGATGAAACACATTTTGATGCATTTAAGATTAAACTGAAAACACATCTGTTTAGTCTGTAGATAACAATTTGTATTGTATCTTTTGTAATCTGTAAAGCGCATTGAGGTTTCTTTCAGTAATGAAATGCGCTCTATAAGAATCACCTATTATTATTGTTATTATCTAGGGCTGTGCCAAATGCGGTACACTCTACACTGGATATTCGACCATTTGTTCAAGTATCCGAAATACCATATTTTTGAGTCAAATATTTGAATAACTTGACGGATCTTTGGGAAATTATGAAACATACATGTATACATGTGTAAGTAAGTTGTTCGGTTTGGTCAAATTGCAAAGGTTCTTTGAATTACTTTAACGAACTTTTTGCCAATTTTCGACAAGCACAGGTGCAACAGCTGGATTTTTGAGAGTCAAAATGTTGACCCCCGGAATTTGTTCTCGCACGGTTCTCGCAAGAATAACACAAAAAACGCCCAGGTTTTAAAGGATGGTTATGTGGACGTACTTTTAAATGCTCTTTCCAATTAACATCATTTCGTGTAAAACGCATTTTGTAGCCCAATTGAGCACATTCCTAGGATGGAATGTCCCTCTTATACTATTCGAAAAAAGGAACAGCCCTATTTACAATAGGCAGTAATACGTATGTAACGTGTTATAGTAAGTGGCTCCAACTGAGTCCATAGTTGCCGGTTTGCAAGCCGTAACCAAGTAATTCTCTACTTTTTCCAATCGAAATCAATCCAATGCTAATACACGCAATATTAACCACAAAGGAATATTGACAACCAATGGCTGAATTGTTTTTGAAAAAAATTAAGTCAAATGTGAAATGTGGTAGTAGGCTCGCTTTTCAAACTCACCCAACTATCCTCCTTCAGCTGCAGCAGCAGAGCCCTGGTAGGCAGTAGGAACTCCTGCAGGAATCGTATCCCGTCCCCATCGTAGTGCCGGTCCATGACGCGACAGACCTGGGACAACAGGTAGGGCGCCACCGAGTCAAACGGCTGGTACAGCTCCGAGAGGATGTCCTGCATGTTGAGGTCAACATAGTCCGATTCCGACCCCTACAGAAAAAAATAAATCAATAAAATATTCCATATTTAATGTTTATGAACTTGTATCACAAACTGGCTGTTAAAAAGTACATAAAGTCTGTCACGAGCCAATGTGGCCCATCAGGCCGGCGTTTATTTCCGGTTTCATTAGCATGAAACAACTGAGAATATTTCTATTCCTGCTGAACAGGATGCTAGTCCATCGCAGCTTACTGCCCAGCTCATGCCGGTACCCATTTATACTCCTGGGTGGAGAGAGGCAAGAGGAGATAAAGTGGCTTGCCCAAGGACACAGCATATCACCAGCAGCTGGATTAAAACCCCTGACCCTCTGATCAAGAGTCACAAGCCCTAACCACTAGGCCACACTCCCCCACAAACTGGCCTTAGTTCAAATAAAATAGTGGTCCTCTTTTATGTACCGGTATATGCAATGTCCTACGACTTGGTGAACAGGTACCCCCTAGCACTAAGTTGCAAAGAGAGAGTTGATAAGGTCTAACGCACTGCTGCCTTCACATACAATGTACATTGTACATTTGGTCCTCACATGAAGATGAATAGGGCTTGTGCAAATTTAGACCAAAATTCTTTTGTGCGTACATGTACTTCACCCCATACACAGGTGAACAAGTGCCCACATAGTCCCTCCCACGGTGCTTCATGAGTGATCGAGAGGTACAATGTACCACACACTGTTCATGAATGAGTCTATTTACGTGCCCCCCAAACACCTCTATACAATCCCTCAGCTGATCAGCATTTTGATTAGAATTTTTTCTGAAAAGTGAAAAAAATGGGCCAAATATTTTTTTTAACTTCCTATGAATAATGTGCAAAAATAGATTCGGGGCAAAGTTGTCCTTTCGGTCAAATGAATCAAGTGACTGTTTTTAACAGTTGTGGTGGGCATTGGGGGATGCTGCAAGTGCTGACGTTAAAGGCAATTCCTCACACAATTAACTGTTATTGCTGACTTAAAACTTCAAATATCACAGCCCTAAAGCTGAATTACGTTTAAAATATATAGAAATTCACAAAAATTAAAGTTATGTAGCAGTTAATTAACCACAGGAAAAAAAGACGATGATTACAGAGGACAGAATATAAAATAATATGTAGAAATATAAAAAATATACACAATTTATCACACTGTATGTAAAATATGCAAAATTTAGCATACAAAATGCAAACAAGGTAAGGAGGCAAGCTCCACTAAAAAAAAACCTGCAGGGCTTGCTATTTAAAACATTAACTGCATGTATTGAGAAGTGTAGTCAGGTATGGGATTGGACTATTTTTGTACCTGTTGGTTCTACACTTGATTGAGCACAGTTTGTTTGTATTTCTGAGATTATTATTTCTGTTGGGTGGGAGCCAGTCTCTGTGGTTGTTTTGAAGTGATGAGCGATTGACCAAATTTAACAACTAAAATTTAACTAAACCAAATAAACAAAATTGGCAAGTTTTCACTTGGTCTGGGAGAACCTTACCTCCTCCAATCTGCACTACATGAGTGAACACAAATTCTCAAAAAAATCTAACAAAAACGAAAATATAAATCTGATTGGCAATTGCTGCATAACATAAACGGTTGCCGGGTAACCACTAACAGAATGCACAGCAGTTGGAAGCCATAGGTTATCTCTTAACACACAAGCCCTTATTTTTATTATGCTAGATATGCATTTCCCATAAACAAACGAAAGATGGGGTAGGCCTAATCAAACATTAAAAATTGGTACCGATGTAATACTGCTGATTCAATTGATAGAACAGATACAGGAAGGGTTTTGTATTAATTAGGGCTGTCTAGTCTAGATCCACTTGTGTGGTGCCCTGTTTCAAAACAACAAAATGATTGTTAGAAAGATATGTTTACATAATTCTGTTCCACAGGGGTTAAGAGTTCAGGTATTTCTGGCTGACATCATGTACCACGTTTGATCTAAAGTGCAGGTAATAAATATTAAGTACCTACCATTAAAAGTGTAACCAAAAAATCACATCAGTGTCAGCAGGTTTTCATTTACTAAAAACAAAGAACTGAACAAGGATACTTGTGTATTATTTAAAAAAACAAACCATTTGTACTGCTTAAATGTAGCGCTTTCCATCGTATCAACAATCTCAATGCACTATTTTTACAATCAATCCCCATTCATCAGGCAACGAGACCACACGGCAGCCGATATCAGCACACATTTGGTCCTCTACCCTCACAGGTACTCATTCATACTCCTGGGAGGAGAGAGGCAATTGTAGTTACCATAAGTGTCTTGCCCAAGGGCACAAACACCATGTTCCTGGCAGGGTTCGAACCCACGCATGGGTCAACCTGGACCAGGCCATTCTACATACGGTACAGGTACACCTCATTTACCGGTATTTCAAGATGTGAATTTTTTAATTTTTAAATTTTTTTTTAATTTATTTAATTTTACATTGTTATTCCTGCATTGAAATGGGCTCATATTTTGCACATAAAAAATTAGTTCACTTCATCCAATGAACAATGCAAATTCACAAATTGTAATATTACCATACCTCAATGAACACCGCATCCATGGCAATCAATCGTTAACACTCTAACAATATGGAGAGGCAACGGCTCTTTGCAAATTGCCTTCCCAGCTGAAGGCGCATTAATTTCTTGATTTCAGCATCCACGAGTGGATACAACTGCACTTTATCCACGCCGTATGAACTTGTGAGTAAACATGCATTGTCCCGTATTACTTTATTATCCCAACGTTTGTTTGCTCACGATCAATATCTGAATGTACAAAAGCCAGCCTTTGACCTGTAAACAAGGCAACATGCGAAGTGAAAACACAACACAATTACTGGTACTAGCCATGAAAGTATCAAATCACAAACAACCAACGTAAAGTACAACAGGTACACAAACGGACAGACTGATAATCGCTTCGACAGCAGCTGATTAAGCACGCCCTCTTGTGACAACCTCGGAATAACATTGTTATGGTCGTACTGAATGTGGTCGAGAACATTCAGGAATTTTAAAGAACATTGCAGGGATGTCAGTGGTGAAGTGGAAAGATGATTATAAAAGCAGGGCCCGAGTTCATAACACTGCTTAACAGCCGATTCTGTGCTAACAGAGCCTCGGTCTATTTAATGGAGACCGTAAGCAATAAGCACAGCAACAGCACGCACTTAACCAGTTCGCACCGGATGACGAGTATACACGCTAAGGTTTTGCGGTATTCGGAATAGATGATAGATAAACACGCAGGGATTGAGGCCAGAAATATCTGTCAGCGACCCGCTCGCAGCGAGTGAAGCCGGAAATTTATGAGTGTGCTGCCCAAGGGTGATGGCCTCAACCTGCCTGGCTTGAGGTCGAGTGAAAAAAAGTCCCACGCCTTGTTCCGCTCTTGTCAAAATAATCCCGGCGCGAACTGGTTAATCCAGTCCTAAGATGCCTAAAATCAGCTATGAAATCAGTGACGTAACAATATAAATCCCCATGCACGCGCAACAGTTAGCACATGAAATAGTGCTTAAGCTCAGCAGGATATCTGCTATAGTAAGCACAACTTTTCTGCTAACTGTTAAGCAGTGCAATGAAATTGGGCCCAGGTTTTTAGTGAAAGATATCTGCACTGCTGCAGTGACAAAATAATACTGAGTTTTTTGTCCCCTCGGATAAAACATCTACTGAATGCCACTGTGAGAGAATTACAGAATGGAAAGTTCCAGACTGTCAATCGAACAGTACTCATTAGCCAATTGGATCATGGCATTTGGCCAGGTGACCCGAGTAGACCAGTCAAACTCGGTCACAAGCACTGTGAGAAAATGTACACAAACCAAAGGTGAATGGGGCTTACGTTTTGGCCAAATCCACTATTTCACCATTTTATATAATTCCTGCCCACATTTCCTGTCCTTAACTGCTAAAAACTATCATGGAAAAAAAAAGGTTGGCAATTTTTACAGCCAGACAATTTTCCTTGCTCTATATTCTCACTAACCTCAGAAGAAGTGCAATGCCCATTGCTCAAACCAAATCTGGCATTATCGAGTTTAATCCATATCCACAGTACAATCCCAAGACTAGAAACGCAGAACCCAAACAGAAGCAACCAAAACACTTTCCACAGAATGACGGCATAGTATATCCAATGAGATCCAATGTAATCACAATCTGCAGCCATCGTTACACATAGTCAACTTCCACTGCTCGAATTGCTGCCAGTTTTAAAGAACGTTACAGTCATAAGGAGATGGGGTTTTACACAAATCGCCAAGGAATGGAGTCGGAGGGAAATGATCCTGTACTGATCCTTGCCATGGACACACCTCTCTGAGTGAGCACAACTTTGCATTGACAGGATACTTGCCATTCTTCCAGTTAATCATCCAGATTGTACTCCAGGGTCGCGAGCAAATCTCTTGGACTAATATATCAGGTCATGTCATCTCGCTTCCTGAGCCCGACCAATCAGATCCTGATGATGAGGCAGAGAGCAGACAAGATGCTATCAAGAAGCATCTATTGCAGCGTTGTATTCACTTACATCACAAGTCCTCACAGGTCAATCATAAGTCCCCACAAGTCCATCAAAAGTCCTCATAAGTCCTCGCAAGTCATTGAAGTCAATCACAAGTCCTCACAAGTCCATCACAAGTCCTCACAAGTCCATCACAAGTCCATCACAAGTCCTCACAAGTCAGCACAGCTCCGTCACGGGTCCATCACAAGCCCATCACAAGTCCTCACAAGTCCATCACAAGTCCTCACAAGTCCATCACAAGTCCTCACAAGTCCATCACAAGTCCATCACAAGTCCTCACAAGTCAGCACAGCTCCGTCACGGGTCCATCACAAGCCCATCACAAGTCCTCACAAGTCCATCACAAGTCCTCACAAGTCCTCACAAGTCCATAAGTCAATGAAGTCAATCACATGTCAGTCACAAGTCCATCTCAAGTCCTCCAGTCTCAAGTCAAGTCACAAGCTATTTAGCACATGAACTGTG